ATACTTTCCACAGTGTCATACAATTGTTAACCTAGCTCACCTATTTTTTCACTGTTTCTCATATAAACAAAACATATGTTAACAATTTAATCTGATAGTTATACTCACATATTGTACTAGGCCATTTAAATACTAGTTATTGGAATATGATGTATTTATGTACAAAAAAGATTTATATCCTGCCTTTCCTCTAAGAGTGCAGGATGTGTTGTACAGGGATCTTTCATTTTATCCCTGTTAACCTTATGTTCGCTTGAGATGAGAAAAAGTGATTTACCTAAGTCACTTAATGAGAGTGACTGAAGGTAAATTTGAACTTAACATTACACTGGCTACTTATATATGTCCCTTTTTTGAGAAATTTGTTTTTTGAAAGGTTTTTTAAAATGTATATTCTCCCATTGTTTTACTATCCATTATCTCTCAAAAGTATGGAAGCCCAAGAGGACTTAAGTTCAGTTATCTTTGCCTTCCAGCAAAAGTGCTCCAATTTCTATTCAGCTACTGTCATCATTGAGGATATGGTGAGCTCATACAGGATTGGAGCACCAACAAAGAACCATTACTTTTGAGTTCCTGCTCTTTTCAACCTCTGAATTGAGCATCACATCTTGAGCAGGACAGGCTTTCCAGAGTTAACTTGAAAGTTGCAATCTCATGATTATCCTAAGATTTACCCAAAGAGGGAAAACAGAATCAACCACATATACACTGCTCAAAAAAATAAAGGGAACACTTAAACAACACAATGTAACTCCAAGTCAATCAGACTTCTGTGAAATCAAACTGTCCACTTAGGTAGCAACACTGATTGACAATCAATTTCACATGCTGTTGTGCAAATGGAATAGACAATAGGTGGAAAGCATAGGCAGGTAGCAAGACATCCCCAATAAAGGAGTGGTTCCACAGGTGGTGACCACAGACCACTTCTCAGTTCCTATGCTTTCTGGCTGATGGTTTGGTCACTTTTGAATGCTGGCGGTGCTTTCACTAGTGGTAGCATGAGACGGAGTCTACAACCCACACAAGTGGCTCAGGTAGTGCAGCTCATCCAGGATGGCACATCAATGCGAGCTGTGGCAAGAAGGTTTGCTGTGTCTGTCAGCATAGTGTCCAGAGCATGGAGGCGCTACCAGGAGACAAGCCAGTACATCAGGAGATGTGGAGGACTCTGTAGGAGGGCAGCAACCCAGCATCAGGACCGCTACCTCCGCCTTTGTGCAAGGAAGGACAGGAGGAACACTGCCAGAGCCCTGCAAAATGACCTCCAGTGGGCCACAAATGTGCATGTGGCTGCTCAAGTGGTCAGAAACAGACTCCATGAGGGTGGTATGAGGGCCCGATGTCCACAGATGGTGGTTGTGCTTACAGCCCAACACCTGCAGGACGTTTGGCATTTGCCAGAGAACACCAAGATTGGCAAATTCGCCACTGGTGCCCTGTGCTCTTCATAGATGAAAGCAGGTTCACACTGAGCACATGTGACAGACATGACAGGGTCTGGAGACAACGTGGAGAACGTTCTGCTGTCTACAACATCCTCCAGCACGACTGGTTTGTCAGGATCAGTAATAGTGTGGGGTGGCATTTCTTTAGGGGGCCGCACAGCCCTCCATGTGCTCGCCAGAGCTAGCCTGACTGCCATTAGGTATTGAGATGAGATCCTCAGACCCCTTGTGAGACCATATGCTTGGCCCTGAGTTCCTCCTAATGCAAGACAATGCTAGACCTCATGTGGCTGGAGTGTGTCAGCAATTCCTGCAAGACGAAGGCATTGATGCTATGGACTGGCCCGCCCGTTCCCCATACCTGAATCCAATTGAGCACATCTGGGACATGTCTCGCTCCATCCACCAACACCACATTGCATCAGAGACTGTCCAGGAGTTGGGGGATGCTTTAGTCCAGATGTGGGAGGAGATCCCTCAGGAGACCATCCGCCACCTCATCAGGATCATGCCCAGGTGTTGTAGGAAGGTCATACAGGCACGTGGAGGCCACACACACTACTGACCCTCATTTTGACTTGTTTTAAGGACATTACATCAAAGTTGGATCAGCCTGTAGTGTTTTTTTCCACTTTAATTTTGAGTGTAACTCCAAATCCAGACCTCCATGGGTTGCTAAATTTGATTTCCATTGATAATTTTTGTGTGATTTTTTTGTCAGCACATTCAACTGTGTAATGAACAAAGTATTTAATAAGAATATTTCATTCATTCAGATCTAGGATGTCTTATTTTTGTGTTCCCTTTATTTTTTTGAGCAGTGTACTTAATCCATTCCAATGACCCCTATCTTGAATCCTAGAAGTCTCAAGCTCTGAAGAGTAAATGCTTGGTTTCTTTATAATAAGGTTCTATTTGTCCATGATTTGGTAAGATGCATTGCAAAATGTGATCTATATTGCAAAACTTGTCAGGTAAGAATCATTATGTATGTCAGATACTACCCTCCTAGGTTTTACATCTTTCGTCAACCTTTATGCTAAGTTTGGAGGAGAGGAGTTTATTAATTTTAATTAAATAAGTAATTAAAATACATATAGGTTTTATCTATAAAAACAACCTAGGTAATCAAGAGCCCCATTTTTAAGATAGTGGAATGTGAACATCTGTAGAGACAAAGATTTTTCTGGGATGGCCACCCTACTGCTTATAGTAATCCCATAGAGATATTTTAAAATATCTATGACTCAATTCCTTCCTAATAAAATACATAATAGATTCACAGTTCAGATGGCTAAATTCTTGCAAGGCAGAAGTAAATACATTCTCACTTTCCAATATAGTGAGAACTTATCTAACCACAGAAAATATAGTCCTCTCAAATAATCTTGTATTTATCTACTGTGCATTTGCCAAAATAAATCATGATTGACAAGGTAAAATGGTTATCAATATTGAGGCAGGTGATGAACCCCATTGGATAGATGACACTATCAACATGCTACTGAAGAAGAGCTTAGATGTTGTGAGATACTGATGATACTGTTTAGGTTAAAGCCTTCAGTGATTGCTGAAGCTGAAAGATAGCATTATACTGAGAACATAGAGCATAAGAAATACAAACATAGGAAGATTCAACACAGTGAAGAATTAAATGACTTGTCTATACATTGGCTTCTGATGCATCAGCAAATTGAAATTAAACTGGAAATTGTTATTTTCAATCCCAAAATCATATTCTTTATAGTCAGAATATGAAAAACAAAGAAGGAATGTTATTGTTCCTTCAGAATGATATAGTAAAGCATTTAAGCATTTAAGTAAAAAGCTGTCACTGACTAATACCACTTAGATTTCACAGTCAACCTTTTTGTATGATGGTTATTCAACTGTATGTCCCAATCACTGATGGAGAGAGAGTGGGGGGGAGGGAAGGAGAGAGAGAGAGTGAGAGAGAGAGAGTGTGTGTGAGGTGATAATCAGGTTCAATCTGAAATAGACAAAATGTACAAATAAGATGTGCTGCTTGGGGTTGGAGACTGGAATGAGACTGGAAAATTGGAAATGCAGCTAGTTCCCATCTTATGATAATTGAGCCCAAATTGCTAACTAAAACAGTAAAGTGAGCTTTGCTCCATTTTATGAGCTTTCTTGCCACAGTTGTTGAATCACTAGTTGAATCACAGTTGTTGAATCACTAAAATTATTAAGTTAGTAACTTGATTGTTAAGTGAATCTGGCTTCCCTATTGAATTTGCTTGTCAGAAGGTTGCAAAAGGTGATGGGCACACTGCAGCTGTCATAACTATGAGTGAATTACCAGGTGTCTGGATTTTGATCACATGACCATGGGATGCTATGACGACTAAAAATATGAAAAATGGTCATAAATAACTTTTTTCAGTGCCATAACTAAACAGTTACTAAACAAATTGTTGTAAATCAAGGACTACCTGTAGTACAAAGGAAAATGTAGTTTTACTTTGCAACCTATGATAATAAAACTGCTGGATAACTTACCAGTTTCTGACAATAGAATGATTTCATCTATGTTAATGAATTCTTAAAGCTACTAATATATTGAATATATGTATAGATATCACCATTTTGTTCATTTTACTCTGTAATAGTATATGGGTGTTTTTGAACCTTAGGAACTTTTAAGATGACAGACTTCAAATTTCAGAATGCTCTAGAGTAGACAGACTGTTGTCTGTAGAGTTTAAATCCATACACTTGAAGATGAAAACAATGTTCCATGGATGTAAATTTTGAACTTTGAAGGATAGAAAAAGTTTGCTGTTGGAAAAGACTCATGATAGCCATGAAAACAAGCAAATGGGTCATAAAACAAAACAAATCAGGACTGTCATTCAAGTCACATGAAGCAAGTATCTGCCTCATGCTATAATATTCTTTATACATGAGAAAACCCAGTCACATTGAGAAATCTGTTACGTAGGGAAATGTGGAAGGAATGTGAAGTTTGGTCTAGTGGTTAAAGCACCAGGCTAGAAAGCAGGAGACCCTGAGTTCTAATTCCGCCTTAAGCAGGAAAGCCAGCTGGATGACTTTGGGCCAGTCACTGTCTCTCAGCCCAACCCACCTTACAAGGTTGTTGTGGGGAAAATAGGAGGAAAGAATATTAGGCATTTTCACCCCCATAAGAGTTGTTTATAAAAAATAATAAAGATGGGATATAAATATAAATACCCCCAGCCATTTCTGTCACTGGTTTCTAACAAAAACAGAGATAACATCCATAGTAACTATCTCTCAGAAAACAGCAGAGGGAAATCTACTGTTCTTGGGTCTTTTTTCCCCCTCACGCTCCCTATGAGTTCAAAGGCAGAGTTCAACCCCGCCAGCCGATAGACTTAGATGAACTAGTCACTACTTTTCGGCAGTGTTACATTTTAAATGGCAAAAGACAGCTTTGGATCCACAACCGTATCCCAAATGACGTTGAAATTCAACCCGGAAGTCCTTTTTTTAAAAAAAACAAACGTATGTCTATTTTTGGAATCTCTGTTTCAGGCAGTAGCTTCCGCTTCCGATAGGAGTCCCGCCCTGATCAGGATGAGCGGAGTAGGGAAGAAGCGCGACGCATCTGATGGTAACGCAACTAGAAATTCAAAGAGGAAAGTGGTCTAGGGTGTTAAGTGGATCCCTAATCCTCTTCCGCTTTTCTTATACAGCAGGGTGCGCTTATCGTAAAACCACCTTTATTATGTGTGTGTGTGTGTGTGTGTGTATGTATGTATGCATGCATGCATGCATGTATGCATGTATGTGTATATATGGTATTCAGCTTTGTTCGGGTATTTTCCCACGTCATTATAGTTGTGCTTTTAAAGTTGTAGCAACGTTTCAGCAGAATCTCATCTGCCATCATCAGGCTTCAGAAGCCTGATGATGGC